AAGTATTTTTGGCGTAAGTGTAGCATTAATTCCTCAAATTTTTTCACACGCTTGCGTAGATATCGCGCCTTATCTTGAAAAACTTTTATTCGCTTTGTTTTCTTATTAAATGAGCTCTTTACAAATTTAAGTATTCGACTTCTTGGCGTTGCTAGATGTGGGGTACTGATTTCCGAAATATAACGCGGCTCTGCATACCGTGACTTTTTTGTGGCGCAAGGACATTCGTTCGGCTCTATTATGAATTGAACAAGACCATATATGTACATATATTTTAACGTAATAATAATAATGCCAGTATTAAGCTCTTGCTCGTCTAACTTACGTTTTGGTGGAACTTCGTTTTGTCTTATCGGTGGGACATTCGCTGGCAACTGATTGTTCTGAGTTGACTGTTTTTCCATTTCAGGAACTGCATGCGGCCATAAATACTTACAAATGCCCCTTGATGGCTTGATGTAATCATCCTTTTTGAAATGATTCGAGCAAACTCGCAAATTGTTTGTATCTACACAAAGCTGCAGATTACACACTTCTCTCCATCGCTGCTCCAAAGGCGTGTCTTTTGGAAATCTGATTGTAAATATGGTTTATTAAATTTCAAATGGAATTATATTGTAAACTCACCTGTGTAATATTAAGTTTATTCCCCTTCTTTGATAGCACACGCAACACATTCTCGAAATTTTTTTATTGCATATATAAGTATATGTAAAGCCTCGCGTAAAATTATAAACGGCTTTTAGTAGAAATTTTTTCAGCCATTGAAACGCTCATGACTTTTTGAACTTTTGAAAAAATCATATACGCCTGCCTCCCTCTAAAAACAATATATCTGTACTGTAGTGTTTTCGGACGGTACTAGCTCTTACTGCCAATATAGGAGTATTACATATATGCTAACGCCGCTTCGAATTTTTCAAATATCTGCTTTTTAATCAAGAAGTTGTTTATTGAAACTATCTTCTTTTTTTTTTGTTTCATGCTTCTGTATATTATTAAACGTGCGAAATGAACTATCAAACATGATATGGGAATCTATTTAACCAAAGTTTTTCACTTTATCAATGGATAAACGAATAAATTTCAGCAAAATCCAGCCCTGACAGACTGCCAACCAAATAAGCACAATGGGCGGGGTAAGAATGAAACGTAACTAGCCGGATAAGTTAAATAGTAAACAATTTTGTGCGATTATTTATCAAGGCGCGTTCATGAAAGAATGCGGATAAATTGATAAATTTAAGCAATTTATATAATTATATAATTCACGATTTTCAACTATCTTGCTAAAAACTTTTCCCTGGATGTATATGGTTTTCCAAATTTTCAAATGCAACGTGCAAGTACTTAGAGTTATCATATTCGAATAAAATTTTGCACAGATTATTTTTAGGCTAAAAGAAATCTTTTTCCGCCTGGCAAACTGCATATTTAAAAAAAAAAAAGTTGAAATAACGGTCTAACGGAAATATGTGCGTAAATATACACATATCGTCGTTTAAAGTACAAAACCGCGTATCGTCATTCTGCAAATCCGCGTAACTGACATTGGCTGCCAAAAAATGGATTTGCTCACACAAGCTCTTGGCTCAATCCTAATCCGTTCGTTCTGAAATATACTAGCCAGAGATGCGATTGCTTTATAAAAAAGCGAACCATTTTGAAATATGAGTGTTTTTACGCTCTAGAAAATAATTTCTACAAGTTCACATACGAGGTTTTGCATTTTGCTGATACGCGGTTTTGCATTTTGTTGATACGCGGTTTTGCACTTTAAACGACGATATGTATGTCAGTGCCCGGACTTTGAAAAAATTCTGTGTGGTAGAATCTGAAAAAAAATGTGTTAGATTTAAAAAAAATGTGTTAGATCTCTTCGTTTAGATCAAACTTTGTACAAAAATTTTAAAAAATCTGCAAGGTTTCGCCTAAATGGCAAACTTTTTAATTAGACTCTAAAAAAATGCGGTGTGCTGCCAGCTTTTCTTTTTATCACATCACGAAGTAGCGAACAAATGTGGCACGTTCCAGAAACATCTAATTGGGATTTGCCGATTTTGTCAATTCTCAGGTAAAAGTAAACAACGCCTTAGTAACCTTAGATGCACTTAAATTTGCTAATACTTTCACAAAAATCGCCGTTTTTTAACATTTTCGTTATTAATTCTTTTTAAAAATCACATATTTTTTTCAATTTAACACAATAAAACCGCGTTTCCTGTCGAAAAATTGATTACTGAGAAAATTTACTATTTTAAAGTCTATTTTATCCTCCCATTCGGCTTTGTTTACTTTTGCTTGAGAAATTTCATAGTCGCCGGGAATGCGGAATCTTGTATTAATATTTAGTGTTGGACAATTTTTTCTCTTAAAATTAAGAGAATTATGTCAAGCAAAAATTAAACTACTCAAAAACGCGAATATGTGGTAGATGTGGCAGATGATAAAAAAGTGGCAGATCTACCACATTGTGGTAGAAGTCCGATCACTGATGTATGTAAGTGCGCCTCAGTCTCATCCACTCTTGAAATGGGATTTACAAAACTTTACTGATATGTACTTGGTCGGACAAAACAGCGCCAACAATAAACTGCAGAATGCATAGCAATCACAAAACGAACGAGTACATTCAATGAGGGGATTTACCGATGACAAAGTGGAGCAACCTCCACGGCATTGATAAACAGCGAATAAAGACTAATAGCGAAAAAGTCAGTTCTAGGAAATGATAATGTAACCGCAATCGTGTTTCGCAAAAATAAAATCAAAGTATCTAGCTGTACGTATTTGAACATGTTTACATATATTTGTATTTGTTATTTGTATCAGTATTTGCAGTTACGTTTGTATACTGGCATATGGGTCTTTCCATGAAAATGTAAACCGAAAATGGAATTAAATGAGTTCCAACGGATTTATAACATTAAGGGCCGGTTACTCAATGTCTGGCTAACACTAATCTGCGGTAAAATATCGTTATCGACGTCTTCGGCTCCATACATATAACATTGTGTCGGTAACGCCGATAACGACGTTTACCTGTAGTTAGTGTTAACCAGACATTGAGTAACCGGCCCTAAATTTCGTATTCAGATGGCGGAAAAAGGGTTTAAAAACGCGAAAAAATTAAATTAAAAATTTAATTTGGTATGTGTTACTAGTAAAAATATTGTATGGGGGCAAAATCTGCCGCGTACGTTTTTGTTTTTTTTTTTTAATAAAAACTAACCAGAGATAATTTCTATTACAAAATGGAAGGATCGTAAAGGTACATTATTTAGCTTAGTTTAGGAATTTTTAAAGAAAAGAAAAACTCCCATGATTCGCAGACTTTCGTATATACATATCGTCGTTTAAAGTACAAAACCGCGTATCGTCATTCTGCAAAACCACGTAACTGGCATTATCTGCCAAAAATTGGATTCGCTCACACAAGCTCTTGGCTCAATCCTTATCCATTTTTCCTGAAATATACTGGCCAGGTATGCGATTGCTTTATAAAAAAGAGAACCATTTTGAAACATGAGTGTTTTTTTACTCTCTAGAAGATAATTTACATAATTCACATACGCGGTTTTGCATTTTGTTGATACACGGTTTTGCATTTTGTTGATAAGCGGTTTTGTACTTTAAACGACGATGCGTATATGTGCCTTAAAACCACTTTTTTTTTTGTTGCGTACGTTATCACCTTGTTTTGAACGGATATTTTCCACACCAAAGTTTCGAGGCTGCTTATATCTTTCTCAAACATAGTACCCTTGGGTTGCAACATAACCGTAATAATGTTTTTCAGTATCTTCCATTTTTGAGAGATTTATGTTACTTCATAAGCGTACGAATGCGGCGTACGGCTGCATGGAAACACCCATACGTATCTATTTAAATGTACATATGAATGTATTTGTGTAGTATGTACATATTTTCTCGGAATTGTTTTTGTTCACATTTTTCTTTATAAATAAAATGTGGGGGGTTTGCTTGTGAATCCCCGTAAAACTGCGGAAATATTGATGGGATGCCAGTATTGAGAATATGTGTCAACGAACGGCATTCTCAAGCGCAACACATTTTACAAATACACACATATATATAAATATAAAAGCTTAAACACGATTATTATGCATCTCAGTACGAAAGAACTACATATGTACGTGTTTATGTGTACTAATACAAATATTTACTGTGCGAGAAGCTTAAGTAGGCAAATGAAAATTTATTTTGTATAGAATATACGTTATTTCTTAAACTGAGGAAATCAACTAGATGTGTTAATATACATATGAATGTATGTACATATACGCTTAATCATTGTATTACAATTTCAAAGTTAGCTTTATAAATTATATATGTGTGTTCATACACATTTAATAACATACATTTATAGTACAAACAGGTTATACCTTCCTATACAATAAAAACTTACTGAACTTGGACTTTACTGTATATTTATGAATATATATACACTATTTTTTCTTGCAGTTACATATGAATTTCATTTGCACACTGTGCTCTGAAAGGCTGCAGCTAATTTAATGCTGTAGTAATTGGTTTTGAATTACCTTGAGTTTTTAGTGGATAAGATTATCCAGACTTATATACAACGCCAATTCAAAAAAAAAAAATGAGTTAAGCTCTTTTTACATATATTAAGTTAAAGAACATGCATGTGCATTTGAGCTTCAAGAGTAACGAAAAATTACATTATTTATATGAAAACGAATGATTCTACGTATGAAATGCACACATAATATTTACGTAAGCAGGTATATTTTATTTTCTAATACCTATAATTTAGACATATAAACGTAATTCTAGATACAAGTAGGATGGTATGTGCATATATCCGTATTTATCCTTCTTGTAGTAATTTTAATATTTTCTTATCTATAAGCTCTAACGACGACACAAACGTTTCGTAATCTATGTTTTTGCGCATATACTCCAGCATATCATCAGCGTTATTCCATAAGCATAGTAGATGCTGCATTTTGCATGGCACTGCTAATCTCTTCCATTTATCTTGTACATTCAAAGCGTTGGCAAGAGCTCGATATCTACTTTCATTGCACAATAATTCATCGAAATTGCATGGTAGTACTTGATTTTTCAGCTTATCACGCTGTAATTCTCCAGCGTCTAATCCCATGCCTACGAATTCGTCCTTTATTCTAAATTTTCCAATATCCTTAATTTCGTCAGATATATTGGTTACAGTGATCGTACTTTCAGCATCTTCATCATCTTCATTTGAAGATGAAGACATCTCTTCTTCTTTTATGACCAAACGATTATCATAATCTACATTGTAACCAAGTGAAGCAAACCATGTGATAATTTGGCTTCCCATCTTAGAGTCCAGCTCGCTGGCTAAATCGCCGGCAGTTCGTCCTGCCGCATTTGATGCCCGTATTAATTCCGATACATTTTGTGTAGTATCCAATATTAATTTGACAAGTTCAAAATTTGATTGCAATACCGCCATATGTAAACCATTGTTGCACTCCTTTGCGTTGGGAACAAGCGCCGCACTACGATCGTGTTGCAATAACTTCTTAGCAACATCATAGTTGTTTTGGCGAATTGCTAAATGAAGAGGAGTGAAACCTTCATCGTTCTTAATTGTCAAATCGGGTTGTATATCACTGTTGAGAAAACTTTCAATGCATTTTTGGTGGTGTTCTTTCACAGCTATGTGCAGGGCTGTATCGCCATAGGTGTTTTGAATATTTGGGTCACAGCCGAGCCCTAATAGGGGACGAATGTATTTTTCACGATTGTATAGGCATGCTGTATGTAAAGCACTCTCATTGCGCGCATTTAGCACTTTGCTGAATAGGTATTTTAGTTTGAAATAATCCAATATGTGGCAGGTTTTCATTACGAGTTTTGGATTATCGCTGACTATGATCTCATGTAGAATACTCTCCCGCAATTCATTCCTTTCAGCATGTTCAATAAATATTTCATCAACCATTTTAGCAGCCTTGGCAAACGTATCTTGATCTAAATTCTTGGTGGTTCGAATTCCATCAAATATTTTAAAAATTCGCTCCAAATTACTATTTGTATGGACATCCACTTGTGTGCCTAATATAGACTTCACATAAATCTTGCGCATATCACTGGAAAGTTGTCGATTTGTCAGAGATGTTGAGGATGTACCATCCTCGACAAGTGTACCAGTTGAAGAAAGTTCAGAATATAAACTATCTATAGCGTCCGTCGAATCTGTGGGACAAATCTTGGCCAACTCTTCTGAGTTCATATGCATACACTCCTTGAATATATCGCTACCTATCAATTTGCTGATTTGGAAGTTTTTATCATATTCCTCACTTATGGTTGGCTGATTCATATAGTGAGAACTGCCCATGTCTGTATATTGCATTTGAGTCTGTGATACTTCCATTTTTATGTTAGCTGTTTGTTCTTGCACTGGCTTTGGTAATTCGAACGAACTTAGGGAACTTGCTGATCCCGAGCTACTAGTGGCACTCGAGCAGGTTCGACGACGTTTACGTGACACAACGATATCGCGTGGCTTGTATCGGAATGTTGCCGGTGGATAACTACGTTCGTCGTCAGAAGGTCGCACCAGTTCTACATAAACATCCACAGGTCTATCTACTTCTTTATCTTTATATGGCGGTGTTTGGCAAACAATCGCATACTGATGATGTACATCGGATTCACGGAATTTTCCATAGGCTTCCCAAACAATCTCATCATCTTCGTTGGTTTCGTAGAATCGTACTTTAATATTTTTCTTGCTTACTTTTTCTACTAAAAGAATGAGATCATCACCTCCCGACACACTACCTGTAACAATACTCAGACGACAAATGCGAAGTTCACCAGTTTGGGCCGATTTGCGATTATTAATGGGGTTCGTGTAGACTGGAGCTGCTATACGCGTGTATGTGATGTCATCGTCCTCTACTTTGAATGCTTCGAAACATAAGCGCACCTATAAAAATAATATATATTAAATTATTTAAAAA